AAAAAATTTTGAAAGTTTTTAAGTCAAATTTTAAAACTTTAAAGATATTTATAAATACAAAATTTATTTGGAAAATTAGTTTCAATGACAAAAAAAGTGTTTTTTTAGGAAATATTGAAAAATAGAACTTTAGAACTGAAAAAAGGAATAATAAAATTTTTTTTTTGGAAAAGTAAAAAAAAATTTAGACAGGTTATAAAAAATAAAAATTTAATTTTTGTAATTGAAGTAATTTCAATGACTAATACAATTTTCTTAGAAAATGTAGACAAATTAAAATGTTAACTTATTACTTTTCTATATAACATTTTTTCGATTTTATTTAAGTTTTATACTTCAAAAATAAGTATTGAATATATAAGTAAAGTAGTAAATTTAGTACAAAACTATGTGGTTAGCAATTTAAAATTAATTTTTTTCATGGAGTTATAAAATTCATAAGAAAAAAGTGTCCGTTAAAATAATCAGAGTTCACCGGTCAAAGTATTTAAACATCTGGTTTACGAAAAAAATCGTAAGATCCCATTCTTTAGAGCATCAAATTTTCAACAAAACCTATGAAACTATATATTTTTGCTAGTAGTTGGAAGCAAGATATGGATTTCTCTACCTGATAATAAGAAACGCTTTGAAAACTGTAAGGTGAAGGAGCTCCCCGTTACAATTAAGAGATCATACCTGGAGATTTTTCTGTAGAGATATCTAAGATCCCATTTTTCAGAGTTTAAGCGAAAAAAAATTTTTGTTATAGGCTTACCTAAATATATATACATACATGTACATATAAGAAAACTTAAACTTAATAAGAAAATAAAAATTACAAAATTAAAAAAAAAAAATCTTTCAAAAAAAGTTTTTAAAATAGAAAAGCAAAATTGTATGTAGCAAAAAAAATTAAAATTAACACCGTTTTTTTTAAATGCAATTTATATGACTTTTAAGTTATTGAAAATAAAGAAACCTTTTAACCTGTCTCTTATACACATCTAGATGTGTATAAGAGACAGCTCCAATTGCTACTGCCTTTGTATTTACATGTTGTCGCTGTTGTTGTTGACACTGTTGTTGTCATTATCGATTGGCTTCGGCGACTCCAACTACTCTTTTCTTCTCTTTGTTTGCGCTTCTCCCCCACCATGCGCCACCTTTCTTTTTTCTCGGCATTTCTTTTTCTTCGCGCTTTGTATTTGCATGCGCACCGAAACCGGAGAACGCTTTCGTAGTTTTCTTTTTGGCGTTTGCACACCCAGTCGCGTTCTGTATAAATAGCGCGCGCCGCGTCCAGCTCAGAATCAGTTGGATTCTTACGCGCGCTTGCTCAGTTACGCTGCCCGTTGGCAGCTGGAAACTTTTTTCATTTTACAAAAATAAAAATTATTCTCTTTTTCTTCAACAATTTTTTAATTGGAAAGAGTTCTGCGCCTGAACTTCCCACCAACACCACAGTACACTCACAGAAACGGTTCGCTAATTGTCGTGTGTCCAAGTGAATTTGCCGTGAATTTCAATTAATCAGCCGCGTTTGCGCGTCATTTGTTGCAACGCGCCGTTGGCAATACAAATTGCACGCTTCGCCCACTTTGCTATTTGCCAGCGCCTTGGCTGTGTGGCGGCGCGCCGCGTTTGAAAATGTGTCACTAGCGAATTGTGGCCAATTGTAGGTGTCGGCCATGGCCGCGTGAAATATACTCATTCAATCGTTTAGAAATGTGAAAAGTGTGCCGAAACTTGTGAAAAACACACAAACAAAATATAAACAAAGAAACGTTAGAAATTACCTTCACTGTGTGCGTGTTTGCTGTAAAAGAAACTATTTACTTTTAAATAGAATAATCTGTTTTTAAACGTTGCTTCGTTAATGCGTATTGCGTGTGCTGCATGCCGGAGCATTTGCCGAGTATATTGTATTTCGAGGTGAGTGTGCACATGGAAATTTGATTAAATTCGATTTTTCGAAAATATATTGTTGAAAAATATTTATTAAAAAAAAATATTTATGAAAA